CTTCCTTATTTTGTTTCACTTTTACAAACTTATTTTATATTGTCTATGTTGATTTGACGAAATATAGTTAATATATTTTTTATTCTCAGCGAACTTCTTCTTCCAGCTTGCTTTGGTTCCCGTCTTCATGAGAGGAACCATCTTTCGTTCGATTTCTCTCATCCATATCTCTCTCGAGTATGGACGAGGAATTCCTTGTTTCAAATTCATGTAACACATTTCTCTTTCCAGATCGGAGCTAAAGATATATATTGTAGATTCATCTATATTCAAATTGATCTATATTCAAATTGATCTATATTCAACCTCTATTTTTATAGAGTACAATTTTATACACTTCAATAACAATAATAGATAGTATGGAGATTCTTTAGTGACAGCTAGAGTGAAGTTTGTTGGAAAAGAAGAGGAAGGAAAAAATGAAAGGAGATAGAAAGTCCAATCAAAAAATATATATATATTACTTAGAACCCAGCGTTCCTTCTGAAACTTCAAGACCAAATATCTATTCAAACTTTGAGACTAAAGATGTATTTTACACTAAATTTTAAATTTAATATTTTATGGTATATGAAAATAAGATCTAAGATTGAATATTTAGACCATCGTAAGTAGCTAAAGGCAAATGCATATGCCTAAAGTAAAGAGAATGAAATGGCAAGAAAAGAAGTTTCCTTTATCTCAAAGCTGAAAACCTAAGATTCTATTCTTTTTCTCTGCTTTTTTCCTCAATGGGGACGTATATTTTGATGCTTGTCGATGTACAAGTATGAAAGTGAAGTTCAAACTAATTTATAGGTCCAAGATTTGTCATCTGAATAATCAATCTTTTCTATAATTTTTTTTTTCTAGGAAAAAATACAGATCAGTTGGGGATTCCCACGAATGGATTTGGAGGCTAACAAAAGAAAGCAAACAATTATGACTCCTGTTTTCTGTGTAAAATACAGCTCTAACCTTAGTTTAAAAATCATACTTTGTTCGTCCACTACTTAAAATAAGGCACAACATGTCTGAGATGTTGGAAGAAGATCTAAAGAAGTTCCAAGATTCGAGCATAAGGCGTTTCCTCGATCCTTTGAAATGAACAACCTGCATTTCGTGAAGAACATTATGAACATTAGAGCCAAAATTCCATCTAATTTCAAGCTAAATTGTTGGTTTCTCAGGTAGTATGATACCTTAACATTCAAGGGCATGCCATGGAATTGACCTGCACCCTCTGGCGGCGTCCAGTTGTACAATGCACACGGTAGAAAAAGTACCGAAGCGCCGTTAATTTCTTCCACGAAGGTTTCTGCTTTACTGAATTTCCTTGCATCAAATGAAGGATTTGACCTTACAACCCAAGCAAGAGCTAATTGATCTCCAAGCATTCGTGACGCTTTCATGAATTTTGAACTGTATATCCTCAGTACTTCTTGGAGAAAAGCCTTCGCCCTGCATAATCGCGTATGATCTAAAATCACCACGGAACGTGACAACTCAAACAAAACTGACTCTTCAGTAGAAAATCCATAATCAGCTTTCCGAATGGGGACGGATTGTGAATAGAGCTAAGACTTCCTGGCCCAACCCTTGATTTAATCGACTAAAAATTATGAAACTTTTGTGGAAAACTCCTTCCCTTGACTCGACTCGACTTGAATCATTGGGTCACACATTGGTATCTAGTCCTTAGAACTATCACACTCAATAAAATGGCTCAGAGAGCAGATAGATAGTGCATCACACGTACCTTAGAATCCCATCCTCAGTACCTCTCACAGCTATAAACCCTGAATTCAGAGGCTGTGCTTTGTTATTTCTAAAAGTGAGGGCCAGATGAAACTTTGGACACTGACGAAATATTTCTCCTAAATCACCAACCACCGCCATGTCCGAGTCTGTGAAGATGTAATGATAAGTATGTCTTGGAACCTGTCGTTGTTCCTCAAGTCTTGCATCTAGATACCTCTGCATGATTGCATAAACTTCAGCAAGTACAAGTAGTATTATCAAAATATGTTATCTTCACAATCATCAAGAACGAATCGCTAGTTAGCGTTCAGATATAATATAGAGCCTTGGCTCCATATTACGTGCTTTTCCAGATCTTATTATACAAAGCAAATTATTATCAAGGAAAAAACTTCATAACTCCAGTAGAAATATTCTACCTATATGTTAATGAGATGTGCTCTTACAATGTAAGACCTGATTCTTTGAAGCATCAATGTGTCTCGTGAATATTCACCCTGTATTGGATACACAGTTACTCTATTTCTGCGCACCGGTAGATCTGAAGCTGGATCAGTTAAAATCACTACCTCACTCAGAGGCATTGAAACCTGCAATTTTGTTAGATATGTTTAGTTGAAGGAATTGTGTAGTCCCTCCGCAATGAGAAGCACTACGATAGAAAGTCCCAAATGCCCCCTAAAAAAGACAAGCCTAACGCATAAGGAGGCTAAACGAAAACCTATACTATAGATGCAAATATGGACTCCAGTTGATAAAGAACTAGAAGTAAAAGGCAACTATAGAACTCCTAAGAAACAAACATAACACCAATGAGTCTAGCTAAAAATCAAACCTCCCCCAAAGACGCCCATCGCCTCTAAAAACTACCATATTCCTCTAAAGTCGAATACTCCATGAAACTACTAAAAAAATTGCACACCAAAGAGCTACTTTCTTATTCCAAAACAGTAGGTGAAACAAGACCTTCAACAATTGAAACCAAATTTGTTGGAAAAATATCAGCATGTCAATACCCGAATGAAGTTAATGAAGACATTCAAAATAGCCATCGATCTCTCCACTTTACTGTACGAAGCATCCCCAACTTTAACAATGTCAGATGATCTGCCAACCGCTTTCGAATCCAGTGAAGCATTATAAATGGTAAAGACAGTTACAAAGTGAATGTTGTCCCCAGAATTGGCCGAATGAGATGTAGTAGGTAGATGTGTATTGTTAAGTGCTTTGGTGCCTGCAAAAAATTGAGGTGCAGAATTCAGAACCCACAGATCTGAGTAACAAAAAGTTTGAGGCAGCCACAGGGCTAACATCTAGGTTTTAACAACGGTTCTTGCGTCTGTATACCATATCAACACACGAATTATAGAGTCCCAAATTGCAAAGAGGAAGCTATCACGAAACCAATTGCGCATTTCAACTATCATATGCAGTAAAGGAATGACACAATTAGCCTAAAACTAAAGCACGATATCAAATTTCCAAGCAAAATCCAGTTCTACGTGGACAAAGCATACAATCTCACCAGTTCGCTAGCCAGAAGCCGTATTTCAACGAAGTAATGATCCCAGTGAATGTGAATGAATGGGAATCTCCAAGATTTAATGCAATTAAATTATACAAATCGTGAAAATAAGAACCTGAGCATTGCAAGCGATCGGCGTAGCCTTGGCCGGCGGCAGGCCCAAGAACTAAATGGTCGAATTTCTTGGTTCGTTTGTTGGGCTGATCTTGCGAGGTTAGGCCATGATGCAATTCTAAAACTGAATCAAAAATTTAAAATTAGATGGATTGACAAGAAATGGGCAGATTCTCGACGGAATATGAGAGATTCAGCGGCGTGAAACTGACCGGAGAGGAGATGAGGAATGAAGAAAACGAGGGGAAGGAAGAAGAGAAAACGACGCCGTTCGCTGCAAATTCTCATGCTGGACAGGCTCCGTAGACGGCGCACTCCTCCGCTTATGGATCGGTATTGGCCGCCATTTTTCTGTTTCTTTTTCCTTTTTTCTCCTCAAAAAATTTCAATTTTTTTTATTAGGGATAAGTTTTCAATTTGGCCCAAATCTTGTAAGAGACTGAATTTTATATGATTTATTAGTTGTTATATTTAAGATGTTAAAATTTTATTGGCGAAAGCGAGTCTAGTAGTTTGTGGGTTCGAATCCCACTCCCACATTGAAATTATCAATCTTTTGTCAATCTTAACATTCTAAACCATATCACTATATGAAATTTTCTTCTTTGGGGAAGTTGTATTGTTTTTTTTTTTTTTGAGAAATGGGGAAGTTGTATTGTTATTAAAGGAAACCAAAATTTTATAAAAAAATCAATACCAATAAAAACGTTAATGACACCAATACTCCAAACGAAGTCACAAAATTTGAAGAAATTCATTTGATAAATATTCTCATAGTATTATCAACATTTTATGCAGTTCTAACACTTCACGACATTTTTAACATGTCGTCAATGTTTCCACACATTTTGAGGGAAAAAAAGTCAATTTGAACTACGGTCGAATCTTCCCGTCTACAAAAATGTCGAAAATTTCGACACGTCTCGAGTACACATAATTCAATGACTAGAATTGGTCATCAATGATAAACTGTGAATATCATCAAGAAACAAATAAAGTCATATCTTTTGAAAAATATTCACCAAAAAATTAATGATCTAATGAGTAGAAACTCATCAACCATAGAAAAAGAAAGTGAACAATGTCAAAGAGAATAGAAAGCTAAACCTTCCAACCACCATCGAAACATATCAAATAATGAGCTAAGATACAAATGAAGGTCTTTAACACTCAACTTACCACTCAACTAGTTCGACATATATTTTCGACTAAAAGATTAGAAGTTCAAATAGCATATTGAACTAGAGAAAAAGAGGATGTATACAATAAGAATGGTTGGTAATGCCCTTCACCGACGGAGACAAATTGAATTGTTTGGCGGCCGCGTTAAATGCAAATATTCCCTAAGTTCCAAATTCAGATGAAACTTGTGCCATAAAAGTTAGCATAGGGCAATCTGGCTCAAATTGAAGCAGAAGTTCCATAGTCAGGTCCTTCAGCCTAAAACATATCTTGTTTCGCTCTACACATAATTCAATATTTTCAAGAATTAATCATGTACCAGTTGATCCACAGGCTCAAAATGGAATAGGTTGTCGACTTGGCCACGATTCAATTTTTTGGAAGTATTTTACTGCCACGACCCCGTCGAAACCTTCAGTCAGAATGACCTTGTTGTCCGAAACGTAAAGCTTCATTCCATCTGAAATATAGAATGTTTAAGCAAAAACAAGTATCAGCGATCATCACGTTTCCTTCACTTATTGTTATACCTTGATAACATCCAATGCCAAAAAGAAAAGAGAAGGTTCAACAGTACCATCTAAAGCTTTCTTGACATCAAGAAAGATTAGAACATTAACATCGCGTCTCATACCTGTCAGATTGCGAGAAGATATAGTTAAGTATCGTCTCTAAAACTGGCGTGTCACACCCGAGTCTCGGAAATGTAACAATTAGACTTTTAAACTTACCACTGATTACCTCCCCATCAGTAGGCAAACCACACGAGAAGTGAACATGCAATCTTTTCATGCGTTTCAAACCAGATTCCAGAATCGATTCCAAATTCTTCTTATAAGAACCATGTACACATACTGCACATCATGGAGTGAGGAAGAGAAAGAAAGCGATTAATTGAATAACAAAAATAAAAGTTTAAAATGCATTGATAATCACATGCACATCAAATTTCTTATCAAAAAACATCATGCACATCAAAAGGAGAGGAGAATTTAAGAGGAGACAGAGAGAAAGAGGTTATTAATAATATGTGAAAAAGTAGAAAAGTTTAACGACATCGTGTCATAGTACCTGGAACCTCCTCGGCCGAAAGAATTGGTCTTAATAAACTTTCAGTTTCAACCACCTGCCAAGGATGTGTTTTCCATTTATGACGGATTAGACGAAATACTCAATCTAGTTGCATTATCACAATCTTAAGGAGGATGATTTTATCTGGAAACAGATTATGGAATGGGGTGGGGAAGCCTGATATAAATAACCCTATATAGCCAACAATTTACCAATCTGACAAGGCTGAGTGATCGTCACAAAATAAAGAAACAATAGAAAACAAAGAGAAATGGATTTTTCATTATATAGATAAGTCAAAGTTGAAAAGCATCAAGTGCATTTAAGCCAGCGTGAAACAATCAACAATTTGAAATCAATCAGCTTGATTGATTTACAGTCCCCAACATTTTCTGAAAGGCTAAGAGTAATATTTTAAATGTTCTATAAATAAAGATAATACCGTGACCGTATGGCCTTGGTTTGCTCGAATTAATAGCTCTCCATTCTCTTCCAGGAGGCCGAAACGCTGCTTATTATCCTTCCTAACGGCCTGGAATTGTAAAAGAAGCAACTATTCATCGGTGCTACATGCTTACAGAAACAAAACTGATTGATTCTACGAAATAAAGTGACGCCAAAGCAAGTAATGAAGAAAATTATTCAACTAACCTCCCTTATGTCATCAATTGTGTGCGATCTAAGTGGGATATTGGCAAATGTTTTCAAATTAAGCTTAAGCAAGTCCTGAACCTTGACATATCCATCACTCCTCATATTCAAGTTTAACTCGGAAGCCATATGGCGCAAGATGCGTGTCCTGAAGTTCATTAAAAAGGGAAATCAATCAATCAAAAAGGAACCATATAACAGTAAAAGCGAATCTTATGTGCATAACTTATCCTTCCTCTCAAACACCTCCTTGGGCTTATTCATTCTTCAGCAGTCACAGTAAACTATAGGAACATTCACAACAACTCAGCTCGATGTTAATAAACCACGAAAAATTAGAAAGATATAGTATCAACTGGGAACACTCATTCATTCCTTCAAATTTGAACTAATACATAAAGACCAAAAGACAATATTCTATTCCATTTGAAAATTTCCCAAGCTTATGCGTGCATTACTGATGAAGTTACATTTGATTTAAGGTTTCAATTTAGACTTCGATCTTCCTATTCCGCTTTTCCCCGCCAGGAAGTGTTGAAGAGAAAAAGAAGAAAATATCAAAATTCTAGGCAATCATCGAGATTCAACTTCGTGAATCACGAATTGTAAATGCAGTTTGTTCTCACAATAAGAGAGAAACTACACAAACTTCCATAGGTTCAATAAGCAACATGTTTGACAATTAATCCGCGACAATCAAAACCTAAACAAGATACCAATAGACGAGATATGCTTACAAGAGTCTACCAAGGGCGTCAATTTTGTCTTTACCAGAGCCACCGCCTCCTCCGCCGCGCCCTCGCGTTCTTTCTCTGTCATTTGTCATGTCCAAACCTCGTCCTCTTCCACCACTAATCGAAAAAAATCGAAACCAAAGAACATAATCAATAACAACATCTAGAATTTCAACAAAAACATTCAAATTCCTAATATAAAAAAACAAAACGATGATACTGAACGAGCAGAATTAACCTTTTACTGGAATGGGCAAAAGAAGCGAAGGAGGAGGTATTGGGATTATCCATGGAAAATACAGCGGGAGGGATGGGCAGGGGAATTGGAGTGATGAGGACACGTGGAAGCAGTAGAGGACGGTAGCGCAGAATTTTGATGCCGCAGTTGGTAACACAAGCCCACATCCTGAAGGGAAAAAAGGTTGAAGACGACGGTGGCCTTGCCTTTGCGATCGCATGCTATTGCGGTGTAAAATTGTGCCATGGTAGGAGATAATATCAGACGTACACGTGGCTTATAACTCCATCAAACGGTTACCAACCCACTTGGTGGGGCCCACTGTATACCGGATGCCGACATGTCGACTTCTGAATTGCTATATTAAGTTCTATCTATGAATAACTTGAAGGGACAACCCGACCCGACCCGATCGGGTGGGGATTTTCCAACCCAACCCAATTCAAGGTTTAATCAATCCAACCCTAGTTATTTGGCAGCAGAACCCTTTTTTTTCCTTTTTCTGTCGCCAATATTTTCTAATAAATTATTTGCGTCCTTGTCCTTAGTTTTTTAGTTCGTAAATTTTTTATTTTAGACTTCTCATTTTCTCAGAATTAGCTCTAAACTCGGAACAATGGTGAAACTGCTGTTTTGTTTAGACTTAAAAAAGTGAATCTGACTTATATTTTGATTTAATCCATTTGTAAATAAATATTTTTTAAATACTTTTTATATAATTAGATTAAATTAAAATATTTAGGTGGTTATTTATAAGTTATTTATTATTTTTTAGTATAATACGTGGGAGTGGAGATTCTAACTCACGATCTCTTCGTCGGAAATAGGTGTCTTAACCAATTGAGTTATGCTCATGTCAAAGTTATTTTAATCACTCTTTGTTTGATTGTACTATATCTAAACGTGATTCTACAATGGCCAAATTACCATTAAAGTGAATCTAAAATGATTCCCGATCAATCATCTTAAAATTCTTTTTTGGTATAATCAATGTTAAAGTGATTCTTGAAGAAAGGATTATAAACTGATTTAATTATTTCAAAAGTGATTCTTATAGGTTATCAAACACTCTAGATTTTAAGAAAGAAAAAAATTTATGCCGGAATTACTAACCAAGTTAATCCAGACACATTCTTTGTATAGTGTTACTATGGTTGATGCAAGATTTTGAAGGAGGTGAAGGTGATTCGAGGTGGATATCCAATCAACCGAGGTGATGACCTGCAAACAGAACCTTGTATGATGTGGTACTCGACCACACATACACTCCAAAGTCTAGGTCAATACTTAGTCTGAACTGGTGTGTCGAGCCAAACTTAGTTAATTTGCATAGCCACACATACACTCCAAAGCGTATCTTACTAAGGAATATCCTTGTCTTTTATAGGAGAACTTTTGGAAACGTTGTTCTATCATTTCAGTGTTTCGTACCTAGTGTTCAATAGATTTTATCCCAACGACATCTATGTTTTCAAGTCAGTACCAAGTTAGACTTTCACTAGATCAATCAATGGTAACTTTGTCTGGCTCATCTCATCTTTTCGACCTATCCGAACTAAAGCTCTAATAAGTATTTCTCGACAAGAGGACCACGTGGCAAGCTAAGATTCCACCGCTAACTACTCATAAGAAACTTTTGAACTATACAATTTAACTGACATAGAAAGTATGGCTATAGTTTTTGTGTGAGTGTACAATGAGAGATTGAACATGAAAGGTTCCTAAAAAGAGCCCAAAGGGAATCTGTCCCACCCACCCACTATCTTCTTAGTGATGCTTTCACATGTTGGCATTAAGGGGCAATTTTGGTCCTAAAATTTGGAACCAGGTACAAGACAATGAATCATAAAAATTTAAAGTTCACATGAAGCTCTGTTAAAAAAAAAAAAATAATAATAAATATATATATATATATATATATATATTTTTTTTTTTGGGAGGGAAAAAATAGGAAGGTTCACATGAGCTTGGGAGTGAGAAATGGGGCCAAGATGATAAAAATGGATAATGAAGATTACAAGAGAGTGGAGATAGACTGGCCACCTACTCAATCAATGAACATTGTCAATAAATTGTGGGCAACCCCCTATTATATCATATTCTAAAATTTTTTTTATTTTAAAATCTTACTAGATATCAAAATAACTTTATGATAATTTAGAATATGAAATTGAAATGATATCATATCTATAGAATCATTACTGTAAATTTTGACAAAGATTGTCATAATCATATAAAAATGTATCTATTATAATGATTTGACAAATTTAAACGCATCTATCACAAATAGTTAATTAAAAGTAGTCCGTATTTTGATAATGTGTAGGTTTCAATTAAACCAAATTATGATTTTAGTTCTTATACTTTAACTTTTTGGCTAATGTGTTTCTACTTTTTTTTTATATTAAAGTTAACCAAACATCTCTACAGTTAATGAAATGTCATAAAGATTCATTGTAAAAGTTATTAATTTATAGGCATAGTACATAAACTTGAGATGTAACATTTATGTCTAAGCGATATGGTCGTTTGGCAAATCAAATTGGTTAAAAATGATTGGGGTGAGTTTTAAGACATTGTTTCGATTGAAAGGCATAAAAGGGACTAGAGGGTATAGCCAATCTATTGAACTTTTTTTTTATGGTCCAGTCACCAATAATTTATCGTACTAAATTTTTATTACTCTTTGTCAATAACTGAGATAAACTTGAAGTAAATACTTGAGATAACAATAAAAAATATTAAAAGTATATATTCAAAATTTGAAACTAATATCATATGCTTAATAGAAATATATACATCAAATTTGATTAAAAATAGAAAGAAAAAAACAACTGTATTTTGTTACAAAATATTTATACATTATTTAAAACATGCTCCTAAAAATAAGAGGAGAAAAAAAACATAGAGAGAGACACAAATAACAATAACAAAATTGATATTAAAAAAAAAAAAAAAGAATAGACCAAAAGCGGACAGAAGATAAGGGGGAGGGATGGCACAAAGCTATGGGATGGGCTACTAGCCATAGCCATAACTAAAGTTTAAATGTAATTTTATATTAACTTTATATTTTCATTTATTCGATGAGCACAAGTCTGAATTGAAAAGTATTTGAAATATCATACAATTTTTTTTAAAAAAAAAAACCCTCGTATAATGGGTGAAGTGTCATATTTAAAAAAATGAAAAAAATAAAATATTTATTAAGGGTCTATTTAGTACGTTTTCGTTTCCAATTTTGGTAAGAAATCTAAACATTTGACAACTATTTATCTTTCTTATTTCTCGTGCCAACAAAAACAAATTTCTTATTTTTTTGTTCCAATTTTCAATTTGTTCCAAAAAGTAAAAAAATTTGTTGGGTCGTTTTTGCATACTTTATTGCATTAAAAAGTGTTGGATCATGCAATTCTTTTTTTTTCTATTATAAAAAAGGTAGAAACAATAAACGAAAACGTTATCAAACAAGTCCTAAATGATTAATAAAAAGACATTCAACGTTAAATTTATGATGAAAATCTTGAAGAGTATATTTCAGTTTATTTTATGTATTTTGTTAGAAAACTTAACAAATTTATTCATATTTGTTTTCAATAAATAAGTTTTTTTAGTATAATTTTCTAGGATAGCTTTTGTGCAGACTTCGATCCTCATGAAACAACCGTTTTACTCTACTACATTTTATTGCCAAAGGAAATATATTAGGTAATGAACCGTCATCATGATTTTGAACATTGAAGGCATTCTCCTTGAATCTTTTTGATTTACCTTAGCTCATTTCTACCCATGACTCAACTAATAAATAAGTTTGTTTATTTATAATTTTTGTTATATAATTTACTTTTAAAATTTTAGAAATTACTTTTCTTTTTCTTTTTTGGCTTGAAAGTTATTAAGAATTAGAAAAGTATTCATTGAAACGCCAAAAGCAAATAAAAATTTTTTTTTTTGGAAAAGAGACTTGTTTCTTAATTAGAAAATATAAATAAATTTATTATCAGCCAAATCTAAACTATAAGGTTAAAATAAACTACAACAACTATTAATTAAAATTTAAAAATTTATTCTTTAATCTTTATTGGTTATATAAGACAAGTGTGCAAAGAAATAGAAATAAAATAAAATAAAAAATGCAACTTTTTATGACAGACTGACAGACCAAACTCGTAGATTGCTAACAGACAATTGGGTTACATTAAAGTAACAGGGGACTTCAATAAATTTAGGTAACAGACAAGTAGGATTTTTTGGAAGCTATTATTTGTGTGGTTTTCTCTCTCTCTCTCTCTCTCTCTCTCTCTAAAGTGACAGGAAAAAAATTATTTAAATAAATTAAGGTTAGGCATCCGATTGAAATAATTTAATTTAAGTTAACCTGGGTCGCTAGGGAGGAAAAAAAGGAATCTCAATGATACAATAAATAATTAAAAAGAAATATATTGATTGGGTTTGAGATTTTGCAATAATATTATTAAACTACATTTAACATATACATGTTGTAATGTTTCTTTTAGAAGTAGAAGATGTAATGTTATATTGATATACGACCACGATTTAAATGTCTAAATATAATAATTATTAAAACTCAAATATAGTTTAATAGGATATACGTTTCTATTTTTGATAGGTTGACTTTTCTATTCTCTTTATTTATAGCATAATAATTTTTAAAGTAAGCTAATAATCATCTCTCCACTTTAGATTATTATTCTTTTATCATTAATGAAATATGACATAACATTTCCTATATTTAGAAGGAAAAAAAAAACAAGGCTTTACATTTTTTCTAGATAAATTCTAGCTAGGCTAAATGTGACATAAAATGGTAGAGTGACATATATATATATATATACACACTATAGAAATTCAAAATAATATGTTTTAATATTTTATATATCAATTGATATTTTTACTTCTATCTGCATATCTTTCAAAAATAGAAATTAAGAGAAAATGGTACGTTTTCAGTTTTTTTTTTAAATAATTTTGGCCGAGCTAGTGTGATATCACAAGTTTTATAATAGATAGAGGTGAAGCCGGAAATATATAGGCATGTAAGTATGTATGATTGTCCAATTCTAAAAATTTAATTAGGAGGTTAAATTAGAAAAAAGGAAATACATAATTTTAAGTAATTTATATGGGGTGAAATTACATTTTTTTAGTTCCTATTACTTGAAAGTTTCTAATTCATCTTTTAAATTTATAAGAAATTGATGATATTTTTTTCCTCTAATTTTTTCAAATTCACTAATTCCTGTCAACTTATTTTAACATAACATTCATGATGGAGTAAATAAAAAGTATTAAAATATAAAAAAATTAGATTGAAACTTTTTAAACAACATCCACTAAATTGAAATCACAAAACTAATAACACGTGAATATCTCATTGATAATTCACTATATTAACAAATTCGAGCTTTAACTTAGTAGTAAATGACATCTACTCCTTTTTTTGATGTCAGAAGTTCAAACTCTGATGGAAATGTCGAGATTTCAATTTCATGCAAATATTAATAGAAATATCGATAAAATATCGATGTTATCAATATCGTGGACATAAAAATGTCTACATGTTGACAAATTTTTTTAATACAACATGTGGGGGTGGAGATTCAAACTCCCCACCTCCTAGTCAGACGTTGGTGCATATCCATTGAAATTTTCATGTATCCAAGAGTTCGACATCGACATAAGGGATAAATTGATATTTTCATCATGTTAAAAAAAGATTTGATAAAATATAAAAAATATCAACAAAATGTCATTAATATACACGTTAATATTAATATTAATCATTTCTAACTTATTTATAAATAGAAAAATATTTATCTATTAATTTAAACTCTCTTTTTTACAAAAGCATCCCTTGATATCCCATGGGTATTTCTCTGAATATTGTGAGACCAATGACATTTTTTTTATCGAAATCAACCTTTAAAACCTTAATTTTAATGTATTTATATATTATACAATTGTGGAGTCGCCCGGTTTCACAGCTTTTACGGGAGTCTGAGACTGAACTCTGCGTATGAATCAGAACAGAGCGCCCGCGAGAGAGAGAGAGAGAGAGAAGGAATCTCAATGCTTATGGGAATTGGGATTGAGAGAGCGTTTGTGGCCGTAAATTGCCACAAATCGCTCTGATTTTCACTCTCCACTTTCCATTGTTTTTCCCTTCTCATTTTCCTCCCACTTTTATTGCTCAATCCCTCTCCTCTGGCTCTCCCGCCATCACATTCCTCCATTTCCAACGCCATTGAATTGAAACCCCTTCAAGAAAATCACAATCTCAGAGACGAAGTAATTGAAGAGCCAAAAATTTCCTCGGCCCCCATTTTCTTAGCTTCCAACCACCCACTTTCCAGTTTCTGATTCGTCTCTGAGTTTGTAACTCCTGAGCATTAACTTCGATTTCCCACTCATCGAATGGGAGTTAGATTATGAATCAATAACAAAATAAAATCCCCATTTGCGTAAGGATTTGAAAGATTGATTCTGCTCTGAATCGACCATGTCTCTCTTCAACTCGCTTTTGGTTTTCATCTTCTTTCTGGGTTTTTCTTCCCCTTCCGCCATTTCTGGGTCCTCTGAGCTCTCCACTCTAATGGCGATTAAAGCTTCTTTAGACCCGAAAAGCAAATTATTAACCTCATGGAGTCCGGTTTCCGACCCATGTGGTGGCTATTTCGAGGGAGTTGCTTGTAACGAGCAAGGGAAAGTGGTGAACATTTCTCTGCAGGGGATGGGACTTTCCGGCTACATTCCGGCGGCCGTCGCCAGACTTAAGAGCTTGACGGGGCTGTACTTGCATTTCAATTCTCTAACCGGTGAAATTCCTAAGGAAATTGCGAGTTTGACTCAGCTGACTGATTTGTATCTTAATGTGAATCAACTCTCTGGGGAGATTCCTTTTGAGATTGGGAATATGGCAAATCTTCAAGGTGGGTTTTCAATCTTTTGGTTTATATATAGCTCTTTTTTCACCAATTTTTGTTCTGGGTTTTTTGCTTTGAGTGAAGAACTTGAACTTGAACTCCCCTATCTTAATTTTTGTACCATTTGAGCTCCTAGTTAACTTTTGCTTGGTTATTAATTGGTTGTTTAGGTGATTAACCTGCTAAAGTGAAAGCTAAGACAATACCCAAATTGTATAAACTTGTTATGATGATGCTTTTGGATCAGTTTATGTAGCTCAAGTTACATTGGCAAAGTTTTTCTTGGGGATATTCTTTTGTAGTTAGGAACTGATTTGGATTGATAGAACTAAATTATGAGGCCGATTATTTTCAGTGCTGCAGCTTTGTTACAACAAATTAACAGGTGGGATACCATCACAAGTGGGGAATATGAAGGTTCTAAATGTTCTTGCTCTGCAATATAATCAGCTCACCGGAGCGATTCCCGCAAGTTTGGGGAACTTGACAGCGCTAGCACGGTTGGACTTGAGTAACAACAGGTTTTTCGGTCCGATTCCGGTGATACTAGCCGATGCTCCTGCTCTCGAAGTTCTTAACGTCCAAAACAACTCGCTAACCGGTAACGTTCCTCCAGGTAATGTGCTCTTGCTATTCTTTGTGTTGTGGACTTTATTGTTTGGAAAATTTTGTGATCCTATAGATGTGTAGGTTTGATGTGTTTCTCAATGGAAATTCAGGTTTGAAGAGATTGAAGGAGAAGTTTCAGTACCATGAGAACCCAAGTTTGTGTGGAGTGGGATTCCGGGACCTAAATCCTTGTAGTAAGTTGAAAAGTTTGAATCCGAGCCGACCCGAACCGTTTCTACCCCAACTACCTGGAAATCTTTCTGCAAGAGATATCCCTGAGTCTGCTAATCTACGCCACAATTGCAATGGAAGTAACTGTTCAAGACAGTCGAAATCTTCACGAATCGGAGTGGCCCTCGGAGTGATTGGAGTGTTTGCTGCATTTATGGCAATCGGTCTTGTAACGTTTTCCTGGTACCGTCGCCATGAACATAAATTTAAATTTGGAAGAGCTTCAAACGCCATAAGTAGACGGATTATCACTAGCCAAGTCAGGGAAATCTACAGGAGGAATGCTTCTCCTCTCATCAATCTAGAGTATTCGAATGGATGGGATCCGTTAGCCAAAGATCACGGCGGGAGTGCATCGTCACGAGAGATGATCAAGAGCTTTATGTTTAATCTAGAAGATGTCGAGCGGGCAACGCAATGCTTCTCAAAGTCAAACTTATTGGGGAGGAACAATTTTTCAGCTCTTTACAAGGGAAAGTTGAGAGATGGATCAATTGTTGTTATCAAGTGCATTGGCAAGACAAGCTGCAAATCTGATGAAGCTGAATTCTTGAAGGGCTTGAAGATACTCATCTCAATGAACCATGAAAATCTTGTTAAGTTCAGAGGCTTATGCTGTTCGAAAGACCGGGGAGAGTGCTATCTGATCTACGACTTTGTCTCGAATGGAACTTTGATGCAGTATCTTGATGATGACAATAGCAATGGCAGCGGGAAGGTTCTCGATTGGTCCACCCGAGTATCGATCATATGCGGGATCGCCAAAGGTTTGTGTTACATTACATATGAATAGTGCTGATATTATCTGACTTTGAAATGTTGTTGGTTTCTCTGAATTTTGAGTTTTCCTGCTTGATTTCACGTTTTCGAAATCCCGAAAGTACTAATTCTCGTGGCTTTCGTTTGATTTTCCGAGCCAGGTATCGGATATCTGCACAGAAAGGTTGGGAAGAAACCTGCACTGGTTCACCAGAACATAACAGCTGAAAAAGTGCTCATTGATGCAGAGTTCAACCCCTTGCTCTCAGATTCTGGCCTGCACAAACTTCTTGCAGACGACATTATCTTCTCCATGCTCAAAGTCAGCGCGGCTTTGGGATACCTCCCTCCCGAGTACACGACGACGGGTCGGTTCACCGAGAAGAGCGACATATACGCATTTGGAATGATTGTACTTCAAATTATCTCCGGGAAAACCAGCATCATGAAGTTGAACTACGACACCATCGAGTCACGTCGGTTTGAGGACTTCATCGACTCTAAGCTCGAAGGAAGATTCATAGAATCAGAGGCAGCTAAACTGGGGAAACTTGCAGTGATCTGCGCTCACGAATATCCCGAGCTTCGTCCGACAATGGATGTCGTCGAGCAAGAACTCCATGAAATGGGCGGTTTCGGTATTTCCATAGAGTCCATGCCTTAATTTTGAGATGAAAAACCATAGAAGTTAAGCAGATCACTGACTACTAATCTTAATCTATGCTGTAAATGAAGGTTTATGAATATTTTCATGCTACTGTGCTATTAGAATGGTCTTCTTATGTAAAAAAGTAGGCTACTTTGTTGAAGAATAATGTAAATTGTAGAAACTTGATTTTGTTGCTATAGTTAATTACTGTTTTTCCCCACTTTTGTCAAAATACTTTGATTTTCCCAATTAAGCAATCATGTTCAATTCAAGATCCAAATCTTTGATTAAACAGCCTTATTTTTGTCACATTATGAAGCCTTGATTTTTGTTTTTGACATAGAAAGGTGGGAAAATATGTGGGTCAAGATGAGATATGGAAAAGATTGAGTTGTTTTCTTTTCATTGGGAATTTTTATCCACAAAAAATAATGTTATATTCATATTTTCTAATTACTTCTAATAGTAATGCTTTTAGATAAGTCCTTAATTAACTGCACTAAAAGCATTCCAAACTTTTTTCTTAATAAAAAATAATGGGAAGCACTTTTGGCCTTACAGTCAAATAATTGTGAAAAATATAGAAAGTACTCCGAGAGAAAACTTGAGCAATATTTATTCAACTATGCTTGTCCATCAAAAAATTGTGTGTTCRGCTCTCCACCCCATATGTTGTAAAAAAAAATAAAAAAAATGTCATTTTACAAAAAAAATTTAATTCACCCTTGAGATACTTTTCATTAGATAAATGTCGAGTCAAACTCACTTCATATCTTTCAAATGTTGTAAATTAAACGAACATGTTCCGACACGTAGCAAAAAAGTTTGACAATTGATTTTAATCAAGAAAAAAAAACTCCAAAGAAGCTCAAAGAAAAAAAAAAGTGAAAGGAAGAGCACAACTTTTTTTTAGCGATTTGTTTCAATAATTTGGAAATCCTGGCATTATGCAACAAAAACAATGGGAAGGGAAAAAGAAAAAGGTAAACAGCTCACCATACTGATGAAAAAAAAAAGAAAAAAGTTGCAGAAATCTAAATAAATCCAAAAGTCGACATTGCCAGTGATGTCGGAACTCTTGTCGTTTTTCTTGGACGACAGCTGAAATCGAGTGTGAATTGTTAGACTTGTGAGTATTATTTGTCGGAATCCTTGTAAGAGAAGGAAGAAAGAGAAAAAACAGAAGCACACTACTTTTTCCTATTGCTTTTTCCATCTGTAATTTTTGTTGCCTGTGAACAAATTCTGTCATCTTCTTCTTTTAGTTTATTTTTTTATTTTTTTTTTTAGTGATTTTCTGAAACTGTTTCATCCATGACTCAGATTCGTTTGTAATTGAATAATTGCATTAAATTTAATGCCATTAATGATTGGTTAAGTGATAGGGTGGCCTCGTTTACAATGCAATCTAAATTTCGACTACGTTTAGGATTTGACAGTAGGGTATTAAAGATAATTAATGTTTTCTTTTTTATCGTAAAAGCGACCCAACGTGTACATTTTAGTCTTTATATTTTCAACTTTTCTTTATTTTAGTCGTTATACTTTCGAAATGTTCGTTCGAGTCTTTATAGTTTTGAAAATTAGTACTTTCCTTCTCATTTCTATCCTATTTAATTCAACCAAAATTTTAGCATTGAAATTATTGGAATATATACTCAAATTTAAATTAAAGAGTTTTTCATTTGTAAAATTTATTTTGAAYTTTTGAAAATAAAGATCAAAATGATCGACAAACGTTTTAAAAATACAGGAACTCAAATGAATAAAAGTTAAAAGGTACAAAAACTAAAACAGATATTTTAAAACTACAGACAAAAATGAACTAATCTAAAACCATGTCAGAAAAGCTAGTAATATAATCCTCTTGCATCATTTTAACCCAGCACATTATAATTCTTTCAAGAAATTATACTAGAGCGTTAAACCAAAACCTTAAATCAATCCGTTTACTAATAGAATCTCGAGATCCATTGATGATTGATATAATAACTTCACCTTTTTCTACATTTTTACATATGTGCATAGGCAGTCCATACTAACATTTACAATCAATAACCTGCAAATTTGATGTCCCTAAACCATCCAACACAGAATATATTTCAGTAACATGTGGATGGGATTTATCATGCACCAAGAACTCATGAACAACTCCCTCAAGTTCAATCCAACTGCGCCCAGGAACTTTCGTTAAATTCCTCTTCTTCATCATTGTTCGTACCTTGCTCGCCGCACTCCACAGGCCGAGACCGGCGTAGATATTCGAAAGAAGAACATAAGAACTCGAGTTACAAGAATCCAACCTCATAAGATGTCTAGCAATGGATTCTCCAATGGCAAAGTTCTCATGGTTTTGGCAAGCACTAAGCAAAGTCCTCCATATGATATCATTGGGCTCAATGGGCATTTCTTCAATGAATTTCAATGCTCCTTCTATAAGCCCTGCTTTGCCAAGGATGTCCACCATGCATCCATAATGCTGTAGCTTTGGCTCTAACTTATGAACTTTTCTCATCAACTCGAAACAAATCATCCCTTCTTTCACCAACCCGGCATGCGCACATGCATTCAACACACCGATGAAAGTGATATCGTCTGGTTTCACTGAAAGCTTCTGCATCTCCACGAGCATATCAAAAGCCGACTCACCCAGACCATTTCTTGCCATTCCACTAATCATGGCATTCCAATGGTCGATACCCTTTTCTTCGATGCCTTCGAATATTGACATGGCATTATTGATACTACCGCATTTAGAATACATGTCAATGAGAGCAACACCAACCTTACCCATCAAAGAAAAGCCATTTTCAATCAAATAACTATGTATACTCGCAGCCTTGTCAATGCGTCCTAACTGAGAAACAGCAGACAACGCGATCACCAACGTCGTTTTATCAGGAGATAAGTTGCTTTGGCTTTGCATCATATTAAATATTTTTAAAGCTTTTGTGCAATAACCATTTTGCACATAGCCAGCCATCATTGCATTACAAGCAACCACATCTTTCTCAGGCATTTCATCAAACAGGTTCCTCGCAACCTCGATATTACCCAGTTTGGCATAACCATCAATCAAATTAGACCAACTGATTACATCTCTTCTCGGCATTTGATTGAACAAGCTATGAGCAAATTCTATGCGCCCACATTTAGCAAAACCACCAATTACCGTGTTCCAAGAAACCAAATCTCTCTCAGGCATTTTCTCAAACAGTTCCAATGCAAACTCCACACCGTCTTCTGTTTGAGCAAACCCACCAATCATCGAGTTCCAAGAGATCAAATTCTTATCCTCCAATGGCATAGAATCGAACAATTCACGAGCCGAATCGACCATCCCAGACTTAACATAACCATCAATCATCGAATTATACGAAACAGAGTCCTGCCTCGGCATTCTGTCGAACACTTGCCGTGCAAACTCAATATCCCCGCACCGTAAATACATAGTAATCAAACAATTAAGCAGAAACAAATTCGACCCAATTTCTAACTTCATCAACAACCCATGAATCTGCTTCCCTTGCTCCACCAAACACACTCGAGCACAGGCTTTAAGAATCAAAGAAAACGAGAACTTATCGACAGAAAATCCATTTTCAAGCATCATACAGAATAATACCAGAGCTCGAATGGGGTCATTCCCGTGTGAATACGATTTGATCACAGCATTCCAGAGAAACGGGTCGTCGTCGTCCCGCCGATTCCGACGAATTCTTTCAACAGCATAACGAGTGAAGAAGACGTAGCGAGCGAATTCGACGAGCGGTCTGTGGGGAGAAGAAATGGAATTGAGGATGATTCTGGTCGTGAGTGACGAATTTTTTAGGCATCCGGACTTGATGATTCTGGCGTGGATTTGATTCACCTCGCTCTGAGTTTCGCAGTGGCGGAGGAGAAGAGTCGGCGGAATTGAGGGCCATGGCTGCCATGAATTTGCAGAAACAACCATTAATTTCTGAGCTTTCTTCTGCGACGAAGTTCGAGAAAATGGATGAGAAATTTGAGTCGATGCGGCTTTTTAACTGAAACTTGGAGGGAGTGGTTCGTCTTCGCTGCCTGCTTCTAACGGTTTGCCAACGGCCATTCAGAATTTTTCTTCTCTTTTTTTTTCTCTATTTTTTCCTTTTTCATATTTTATGTTTGAATACCATATTAGTACTTTAACATCGAAGATTATTTTACTTTAGTGTTAGGGATTCTATTGTACATGGCCGATCTGTTTGAGTAACTCCGAGGAGGCCGACCTGAGAGGTTGACCCCAGGTACTTGGGAAATAAGCCAAACATCAAGGCTCATTTGCTGAAGGCAGAGTGAAGATCGGTCAAACACATGGACCAAAGGTCACTCGAGGGAGCCTAGTACAAGTAAGGAAATATCCAAATGAGACAATTATCTACCCCATTGATCCTTATAAATACATCATCACTCGACCCTTAAGGTACGAAAATCTTTCTGAACTCGGATTCTTAACTGACTTGGACATCGAAATAGCTTACCTGTCTTGCAGGTACTGTCGAAGGACCACCCAAAGTTATGCCCATAGGTTCCTCCGAATCTTAGCATGCATCAACATTTATTTCAGTTTTTAAAATATCTATTTTAGTCTCGTGTCTTTTGAAATTTTTAATATCAAAATTAATTTTGGTCCGGAGATTTTTTTGTTTTTCTTTATGTATTTATTTATTTTTTTTTTAACTTTTGTATAGTTTCTATTTTGGCTATTTTTCATTTAAAATCTTAAACTTTTGTCTTCAAATTTCTGCTTCATTTTATATTTCATGTTTATTGCGATGATGCGTGAATATGAAATATCATTAAAAGACCTCACAATTTTATGAAGAAGCTCGAACACGGAGGTGCAAATGAGTTATTTATCATTCCAGATATTAAAAAAAGTCGGTGAAATCATGTTTAAATAACTTTCATGAAAGAGACGACTCATATATAATTTAATTTGTCAAAGAGTTCCTAAAGGTAGGAAGTTCATATCTCCATCCCGCTCATTGTTTGAACTTAAAAAAGAGAAAGAAAAAAACTAAAAAATTTAGAGACAAAAATAAATAAAGGAACAAAAAACAGTGAAAACAAATTGAGATACCTTTGAAGATATTCTTCTTAAAAAAAAAGGACTGAAAATACACCATAACACATAATTTAGTACAAACAATTTTAGTAAACTTTGAAGTTGTTTTTCCACGAGAGAGAGAAAAGTTGTAAACAATATTCTACTTTTAGACGAAAATCACAAGAGTAAAATTTCAAACTAGCAGTTAATAATCATTATTTTTAGAAATCCAAAATAAATTTGAAAAGAAAGACAGCGAGTACAATGACCAAACAGTCCCTAGATGTGTGCAAAGTCCAATAAATAATAATGTGAGTGGATGAAGTTGAAGGCCCAAATGTGAATTGAATTGGATTGAATTTGTAGCTTTTTCAGCTACCCATTTCGTCTCCATTTTCTTCAAAATCGGCAGCGAAACGCAATTTCACATCATGGATCCAATAGACTTTCGAAACCCTACTGAACTGAACCAAAAATAAATAAAATATAATAAAATAAAAGATAAAAAGCTTTTCCTTTTTTATAATTAAGAAAAATAATAAAAAGCTGGATTTTAGCCTTTTTCCCAATGTCTTACATTTGGACGCTATTAAGACTTTGGAAACCAAAGTCAACAAAATCTTTCCGCTTTTAGGCAACATAATCTCCTCCAATCCCATCATGACGTGGCTGCCCCGGTGGGCCCACCACTAACGAAAACAAACTCAGCTTTTTTTAAGAACCTATTTGAGAGTGCCTAAAAAAAAAAAATCTAGGATGATATATTCTCAAAAGAAATATATAATTTTTAATGGAGGCTCGTGGTCTAGGCTAAGAAAATTAAGTAGTGCTTGAAACATCAAAATAGATGTCGATGTCTCTGTTAGAATTGTCTGAAGCTTCAACTAGCTCATTTCCTTCAGCATTTTACAACTGCTTTTGATATATAGGTCGATAACGGATTCAGCACTTATGTTGTCTTCACTCAAACACTTTCAAAGAAGCAAGGGGAATGAGTGAAGCTACTTTACAAACAAGATCTCAAGTACTTACCCGGTACCACTATGTCATCTCTAAGGGACCCAAAATAAAATTGTCTTGTCTCATATTATTTATGGGGGAAAATGATAAAATTTAGGTGTTCAACGACCGTTAAAAATTTGATAACTAAAAAAATAAATGCGAGAAATATAATAAATAGTTGCAAATTTTTTTAACGGTGATAGGTAGGAGAAGCAAACCACTAAGTCTTATAAAAAGAAGAAGTATTTTTTTCTAGACATTTTTTCAGACCTAAAATTTTCATGAGTTGTTGAAAGGTCGGGACTGTGTAAGAGTTTTTATTGAGAAAAACAAAATGTATAATTTCTACTATTTAGATAATTGATTACTATGCTAATTCATGATCGTTGAAAAGAAAATTTGAAAACTTTGTATTTGACAACTTAAACTAGAGATTAGGTAAGAATCCAAAACCATACCAATAAAATAATAATAATAATAATCATAGAATCATTGATCTTCCTCCTTTTGTTGAGTAGTTTGTTTTTAGATAGGAGACTAAATATGTATAAGGTATATTAGAGTATTTGTATTTTATTAAACATTTCTGAAGTATATCGAAAGGTTTTTTTTACTTTAACAATTATAGGTAAGAATTTGTACCATCGACCACAAAACTTGTATAATAAATCTATATGATAGACCTAACATATACGACAGGTTATAACTTAACTAATTAAATTGTGTTTATTTTAAAATTTCTCTCTTAATATCCAATTTTTTTAGTTCAACAAATATTTATCTTCTTTAGTCAATATTATTTCAAATTATTTCTTTAACACTAGCCTTCATTAGTATCTACTCAACATGTCATACTTTTAAATAAAAAGTTCATAAACTCATAATTACAATCACTTATTCTATTTTACCCATTAAATTATTACCCACTTGCAAATTAATCAAGCACTTAATTCCAACATCCTTAGCCCAATAAATATATAACATTATAATAAAATTAACTATCAATTTCAGCAATGGTGGGTCAACTTAGACTAATTGCAAGTATTTAAGTGAACATATTTTCTTATATGCAAGAAATCTAAAGAGATAACCAAAACAACAGCTTTTTGCAAGAGACCTTATCATCACTTGCAATACAAACGACTTAATTTATATATAATATTTATTTAATTTAACAAATTATTAAGCTCATAGAGAGCAAAATTTGACTCATTAAATTTATATATCATTAGTCAAAATGGGGTACGGAAATAACAAATTACCAAAATCTCTAGCAATTTGCATATAAACTATGGTGGGTCGGCAAATTCAAACCTTCAAAGTCTAATCCCTTGAGAACAAAACAAAGAACAACACAGCAAAGACTTGGGAATTTTTTAGTTGTTGCAAAATATGTGTGCGCAATTAAATATTTTATGATCTTAATTAGTTTATATTAGAAAAATAGATGGTGGGATGTGGCAATTTGTAGCATATGAATAATTAAGTGATGGTTCTTTCTCATCTTACGTCCATCGAAAATAATAAAACACTCTAATTCCAAACTAATATATGATTTGAAAACTCCTTTGACGTCTATTTTTGTTTGTAGTAATTTTTTTTTTTTGTGAAATTAAAAATTGACTTATTCAAGTATAGAGCTTAATTTGATAAAATTAAGAGTTTAAGGTTTAGATAGAAGTAAATTCTTTTCCAACAATTTTTTAATGTGAAATTTTGGGGACTAAAAACAAATTACATTATTTCCTTCTGGTCAAGTATYGCTAATTCTATTTCTCAATCTTTATGGGTTACTCCTACAAGTTGAAAAGATGGAGAAATATTTGAAAGTTAAAATGACAGATAAAATATTAAAAAACAAAAAGTCGAGACTATAGTGTAATAAATATGAAAATTTAAGAACTAAAGTAACATTTAAATATTTTATTATCTTCAAAACAGATTTTTTTTTATTTGTCACGATCCCCCAACAAATATCAATGAGCTTATAATCAAAGTAACAGCTAAAAAAATATAATCAAATGCCCCAAGTCAGAGCACTTGAAATTAATTAATATATTTTACACTAACACAAATATAGTCTCGTGGTAATTGACATTTATTCGACATTTACTCATTTTTTTTAATGTCTAAGATTCCATTCAAATTCATATACCTTAATTTGTTTTTTACATATAATAATAATTATAGTATATTTTAGAATTAGAAGGTGATAGATTTATCAATAAATAAATTAGAAGATACTTTCGGATCTCACAAGAGATGATAATGAGGATCTTGGACCTCGTCATATCGGTTACTCTAAAGTCCTGGAATTGGATACGTATTAGACGGTAAAAATTTTTAGTTAGGTTGTTTTTGAAAATATTGGAATATTTATGGGTAACACTTGCACTGATTACAATAAGAAAAAAAATATATATTTATATTTCAAAATAATAAAGAGCTATGAAATTTTTTGTTTTGGTTTTATTGAATATTGATGCGTAGCATTAAAAGGGACTTTTGGCTGCTTCAAGAAAGGGTTTGAGTTGGTCCGTACTGCCAATAGAGACGTGTTTGACTTGGGAAAAAGGAATCTATCATCAATATCATCATTTTTTTTCTTTTGTCATATCTTCATTTCTCTCCTCTCTTAATTTTTAAAGTCTATATTTAATTAATTTTTCAACTGAATTACGTAAAAGTTTATTTAGGAAACAAAGACAAAGTCATTCCTTATTTAACGGCAAGTGTGTGTGTGTGTGTTTTGTATTTTTTATAAATTTCTGTTATCAATTTAATGGGTGAGTCGATCAAATTAAATTTATAGATTGAAATAAGTGGTAGATTAATAAATTCCTAATAATTAAAAACAAACTTAGAAATTTGTTCAAACCAATCAATAAAAAATATAAATCCCCACAAATCTATCAAGATATTTAAATTTGACAATATACTCTAACCTTAGTATATTTCAACTTGCTTAATTTTTGACGTGTCTCTCACTTTTCTATTTAAATAAAATGGGATATTATATCTACAACATCTATTATAGTGTTGGATGACCGTCGACACTACTCATTATAGGAATCGAATTGGTGAAGCCACACACGACATGAATTTTGAGATATAAAAAGCATATCTTTTTGATTTCAGATTTAACATTAAAATCACACCACTAAAGGAAGATCATTTTTTAGAATATATCATTGTAAATAGTGTGGGGTGGAGTGATTTGAGACCTGTGAACTTTTTTTTTTTATTTACTTCATCAAATAGGATTTGAATTTCTAATCTTGTTAAAAAATTATTTTATATCTTAATTAATTATGTTATAACGTGGTCGGTAAAGAATGTCTAATACATGTTAATGAATGGCTTGAATTAGCCTTAAATATAGGTTTAATAATATAGTACAAAGTAATAATGAGTTAACATCAAATTGATGATCGAACAAAAATGAATTTCATGACTAATTTAAGTTTATGGTCATTCCAAATCTCAATTTGAGCGCATTCCGACTAATTTTATCGGACAACTATAATTCATGACCCCTACTACATTTAATTGCTAAACAAATTCGAAGGATATTAAATTTTAGGTAGGTGGTCACCATAATTTGAATCATACAAATTAATATTAAACTCCATAAAACATCGATTTTTTTGGGTCTTATGTAATACTAATTAGTTGTCACTTAGTGAGAGATTAAACTAATTATAAGCTCTTTCAATCCTGGATATCACGCAAGGACAAGAACATATGCGTCTTTGTGATATCATTTATTATGAGATATTGTATTCGAATCTTATTATAGTATTTTGTAACGATCCCTAACTTCAAATATCTACTAATGCAAGTCACACGAT